AAAAATATTGCTTTCTTTTTCTAATTTGTAGTCTTAATTTGCTATGGTTTTGCGTTTCGTAACTTTCGCATAGTTCTATATTTTCTTCAATTGTTGTTTTGAGTTTTGAATCTTTGATTCTTTGATTAAATACATCAATTGGGGTTGAGGAAAAACAGGTCAAAAACCTGCTACCGTCATAATCTTTTATCATTAGGAGATGGGCACCGAATCTTTGCCGATTAAACAGTCACTTTTACAGGGGTATATTTGGTTATTTAAGGGAAAATATACTCCTTCCGTCCCATAATTATTGTCCAATTTTACTAAAATGAAAGATTTTATTTTTGGTCAAACTTAACTATATTTTACCTTAAACAACCGGATATACCCCTACATAAGTAATTGTTTAACCACTAAGATTTTATAAATAATGTTTTTTACTAAGGACAAATGTGTAACTTGATCCATAAAAAGTCAAATTGGACAATAATTTTGGGACAAAATTTTTTGGGCAAAGTAGACAATAATTATGGGACGGGGGGAGTAATTAAGTTTGACCAAAAATAAAATCCTCTATCTTAGCCAAACTGGACAATAACTATGGGAAGGAGGGAGTATAAGTTAGTTTTGAACTAAAAACTAGTCTTTTACATGTCGCGCGTTGCGCGACAAGTGCTTTTTAAAAATCATTTAACTCTATTACGATAAATATTAGTAATAATTTATCTTAACGCGTAATAGTTGTAAATACATGTTTTTATAGGACTTTGTTAAGTATACTTCTTTTGATGGGATTATTACGTTGCTTATCCTAATACATACAGTATCCCACAAAATGATTAAGAAATCTATCAAAAAGCAAGAAAACAAATAGACGATCAAATTAGTACTTGTGTAATATATCATGTGCTTCCATGAAAGTGTTGGAAGAGGTAGGTTGATTTATTTTAATTTTGTGGTCTTTCAATTTTTATTTTTATTTTTTTCGGTAATATGGTCTTTCAATTTCAATTTCAAAAAGTCAAAAACTAAAATTTGCTTTTGATAGCTTTTGTTCTATCACTGTTAGCAAACTACCTTAGAGACTGTAACTTCTTCAGTCAAAGAAAGTTGGTAATGTTGCATAAGTTACCTCAATGACAGGAAACATATGACTATTTTTCAATAGCAATAATAAACTTTTAACTCAAACATCGTATCTAAAGTGAGGGCCAAAATTGTTGGACTTGTAGTATTTCACAAATAAAAACAGAACAAAAAACTAAGGGGACTATTAAGTTACTTATCACAACTCAATTCTCAGACACAGAAAGCTGTCAAATCTCATCCTAGCCAAGCTCTCAGTTATTCTATTAGGTTGTTGTTTCAAGCTGGAGGCAAGAAGCTTCAAGTACTCAGCAGGGGAGAGTACCAATATCACTTGGTACCAGTTATTGTATATTAGAAATAGCCTGAATCACTCAGTAGAAGTTTTGGATTGTAAAGCAGGTAGCAGATCAAGGACTGTGATGATCCTTATTAGATTCTCAGTAGCTCAAATAACAAAAAGAAACGTAAAATACAAATTCTTGAGACAATTATACATCGGAATCTGCAGACAGAGGAAACCATAAACATTTAGTGATATTATAACTTAGAGATTGTAAGTTTTTCAGTAAAAACAAAAAAAATTACATGAAATAATAATAGAATACCGCAATGGAGTCTATTTCTAGATTCTGCTAAAGCAGCAACTTGGACATTGCTACCAATTCACTTGGCAGAGAAAGTTGGACTTTTCTTTTAACAAAAAGGCAAGCAGATCATACCAATGATGCAAAACACAGGTACCCAAAACCTTAAGTACTCTACCCTTCAAAAACTATACTGGACAATTGAGTGATCAAAGATTTACTTCATTGATAGGCATGTTAAAAGTTATACAGTGTGTGAGGAAGAAAAGTTCCAATAAATAACCGACATGGAAGCCTCATCTATGGTAATCTCAAAATAAAACTCATGTTAGCAGAAGAGGAATAACATCCAATGACTATATCAAATTTATTTATGCACAGAAAAATAATCTAACTGAACTGTCAAAGAACCATAAATAGATCACTATACAAGTCCTATGACTTGTTGAATAAACTGTATGTGGAATTAATCGTTGAAGCTCAGGCACAAGTTTTGACATGAGAAACTTATCCTAATTAGTTATCTATCAGCTAAAAGGTATCGGCTCTGAATGTTATCATCAGTGGTGCTGAAAGATAGCAGAAGAACATCAAGAATCACATGCACAATGTAAAATCGACAAAAGAGCTCAATGCCTCGAAAAGTTGATATATATATTTATTTACCTTGAGCAATAATGTAGTTCACCTATATATACACTGGTCTAGAAAGGTAAAGCTGATCCCACAAAATCAGAACACAACAAAATCTATTTTCTAACACATGATTTTGCCTCTCTAAGAACCTCTGACTGAATCTCATGCCACAAGTCGAAACTTTTCGGCTTCCTCTCGTCTAACTATGATCTACCTCTAGAGAATAATATAACTCCTTAAAAACGTTCTCCCAAGGACAAGCAGAAATTATTCTAGAAGCCAGAACATAAATTGTTTCTATTGACAACAATAAGTAAACAAACCCATGATAATCAAATTTCGGATATAGAGCCATTGTGATTAGAGTTTTTTCTAAAAAAATATTCCAAACATCCTACACCATCAGGCCCTTTAATTGTAGGGAAAAGAAATTAGAAACATATACCTTACCCTTGTGCTAATATCCTGTGAAAGAATAGGACTTTATGTAATTTGGCTGGAATTGAGTCTGCAACTCGAAGCATTGCAATATCTGTTTCCAAGACAGTCTATTAGTTTTCAAACCATTAAAATTATCAACAACCTCGCTCAATTAACAACAAATTCACAACTTCAAAACCGTAAAAAATAAGGGAATCAAAATTAGTACCTGTTTGTAGGATTTGGAAAAGAACCAGAGAAAAATCTTTACAAATATTCAAACTTCCTCTACCGTATAGAGGTAAAAAAAAAAATAGAAATTAAAAGGTTAAAAAAGATTTACCTGAATCAAAGACGAAGAAATCAAAGAAACTGGTAAGCTGAAAAAGGAAGCCTTTTGTGATCCTAGTTGTGAGGTTTCTAGGGATTTTTATAGACATGTTGGCCGACAGGGAATTTCTATTCTCATCCCAAAACAAATCCGGAATTAGAGAGGAACTAAATTGTCTATTCATATTACAATTTCAAATTTATGGAAATATATAAATAAAAATTAAGCAGTAATTTGTTAGTCCTATTACACATACAACTCCAAATCAAATAAAAAGGTAATTTCTTAATCCTATTCCGTCCAAACACCTAGCTCCGCCTTGCTTCCTCCGTCATGATGTCCACTGTGATACGATACATGCGGTTGCTCCCCCACGAATTCGATCTCGTACAAGTGAAGGAAGTCATTCTTGCAAAATCTCTTCAACGGGGTGACTCCGGTGGAACTTAGAGTTTTTGTTTGGTTAAATTTGTGGAGGTGGAATCGGGATGGTACGTATTGGAGAAGCATATTTAAGGAAAATATATCTTCGAGGTTTAGTGGGGGCGGAGGATGCAGAGAGAGAAGCGGCAGTGGCGGCTGAATCGACGAAGGGGGACCTGACTGAGTAGGCGGAGCACAACCTTATGGAGGTTATTAGTGGAAAAAAAATTAGGAACAATGACGGGGGTTGTTTTGGAATTTTAAACGTTGTGAGCTATTTTTTGTTTTTATTTTTTTTATTTTTTTTCCCTAGAGAAACCCACAAAACGAAGTTGGTTTGTTGCTGTTTCTTAACAAAAACTTTCAGGTTTTGTAAATATATTGTTTTCATGAGTGGGGATTCCAAAGTTAAATCCTGAAACGACATCCTTTTATAGGTTAGGGGTTTGTTTTTTTCAAAAGGTTACGGTTTTCTTAATTGGAATAAACTAAAATTTTGAATTCTCGTTTTTGCCCTTAATAAGTCGCTGACATCACATTAACCTTATCCGACGGACAAGATCGATTTGAAGGTAGTTCTTGAATATTTCTTGGGCATTATTTCTTGCCTACTGTGCCTTTTATTTTAAGTATAAGGATAATCAAAACCAAAAATACTAATCACTTTGTTGATTCGAATTATATCATATACTCCCTCTAGCCCCAAAAAAAAAGTCTATGCTAGCTTTTTATATTTGTACTGTTTCTAATATAAATACTAAAAACTCAATATTAACTATTTTTTTTTTTTGTAGAGTTAGTATATATTTTCTCACCTTAGTAAATCTTATCTTCGAATTCAAATAATTGATTCTTAAAAAATAAGAAATTACTATTTAAAATAAAGTAATATTTTTTATGGCCTTTTATCAATCTGACTTTATCTGGAAAGATTTTTTCAATTGAGCAAGAACGCTCAATTTATCACGAAATCACCCTCTCTTAATTTAAAAAGATTCGTTTTGTTGAATTGAGTTGTATGACAAAGTAAATTAATATTATAATGGGAGTGAAAACTATATTTTTTTTTCCTTTAGGAACGCAGGAAAGTATTTAATGGGTCGCCAAATTTCACATTTCACGAAAATAACACCTGATTTCAGAGAGGAAAAAAAAAAAAAAACCTGGACTTTCTTCCATAATTTTCATAGTTATTTATTTATTTATTCCCTATTCCGCCCATGAGTTGCACATGTCAGCTCCCCATAAATTATTGTGACGAAATGAAACTGGGTTGACAACAATTTGACTTCTTTGATTGGTAGGCACTTCTTCGTCCTCGGGATTGTGTAGGTCCGCCCACCATTATTGCACAGAGCTTGCACAACACAGTGTCACACACTGAACGGTGGTGGGGGAATTTTTAGTGTTCTTTTGTTCATTGAAAGCAACTAAACTTTGAAGGCCATGGAGGACCTTGGATCATCGACATCAGAGGCCCACCAGGTAAAAGAATAAAACAATTTTGGCAAAAGGGCAAAAACCCATCATCCCAATACAATTAAAAATGTTGATTTGTTTGTCTGTTTTTGGTGTTTGTCGTGTTTGGAGCATGAAACTTCCATTTTTTTGGGGTTCTTTTTTGGGCATGATCAGTGCTGACATTTTTGTTCTATGCACAAAAGTTCTTGTGTTCCCCATCTTTTTTTGTGGGTTTTTTTTTATTTTTGATTTTTTAAATTTATTTTTGATGTGCATGATCTTTGCAAATTCATTTCAGGGTTCTTAGTGTAGTGCGGGCATTGTGCAAGATCTTGAAATTTGAACTTTGAGCTACAATCAGAGGAAAATTTTCTTTACATAAATTGAGGTTTAGTGTATGGATTAGGGAGGTAATTTAATACGGAAGTAATCACGGGTTTTGAAAATTTTGCCTTTTCTTACTACCCAGAAAACACCCTGTAAAGTAATCATCAGGGGAGGGGTATTTTTTTCCCCCCTTTGTGTTTTGGGGCTTTCAAACACAATATGGTTTGATTCTTGGGTGAATCTGACGCCATTATGTTTTTCACTCTGAATAAGGAGATATAGAAATTATATCAAAATGTGAAGTTGGATGTAGTACAAACACATGATTTCAAGTATTAAGTAGCAATTCTAGATTCCAATCATTTTACTTAACCTTTTCTGATGTGTAATAGGTGATAGGGGGTAAGTTGAACTGTGACATGGATAATCAAATCTCTTGCTCTTTAAGCTAAGTATTTCCTTTGTTTCTTGTCTGATCTTTGTTGTTATGTCTATATTGCTGTATTAGTGGACATACATCTCTGTTGTCTTCGTTGACGACATTACGAATAGCATTATACTCTAGTGGAAAGTGGAAGTCCCTGATGGAAAAGATAGCTCTGTAATGAACCCTCTTCATAAGGGAGATATGATAATCATTACCAGCCACTACTTTTTGCATTCGAGCGTTTTCCTTTCTGATTTTCCCTTTTTGGAGCCGAAGTGGTAGGTTTTTAGTGCACTTCCTTTCCTTTTTATTCTTCTCCTTTTGGAGAACTTTTTGTTTTATCTTGCCCTCAGGTTTAAAGTTCTTCAGTAGGCACTTTACTGCTTGTTTAGTGTTCATTCCACTTTTCTTGCTGAAGTGTTTTTCTTTTTTCTTTTTCTTTTTCTTTGTTTTTTCCCAGCTTGAAGCCTTTACTAGACCAGGCATTAGAAAGTAAGCCTTTAATATAGTATGTGGAGGCAGCCATATGGATAACTTCAATTGTTGCTCTTTGTACGGCATTCATTCCAAATTTCTCATGAACTGATGCATAACAATTGAGATCATCAAAAGGATCTCTGAAAGTTTTCCTTTACCAATTTGTAGGCAAAGTGTTGTGATATCTGTGGTAATGAAGGTGTAATTGATGCGATTGTCACTTGCACAGGATGCAAGGTTAATTCTGAACACCTGTAAGATCTCTCCCTTTCAACTACTCCCACGTTATTATGCCTCTGCTTAAACCGTAGCAATATTCTGTTTAGTTCCCATATTTTCTGTTTGCTGAGGTTCATCTTGGTAGTGTTGTACAATTTTATTCGTTTCTGTCATCCATAGCTGAATGTTGCCCACTGATATAGTGCAGAATGATCCAGTCCAAGAGTAGGAATTTTTTGTGAAGTGTTTATTTCATTCATGTGAAGCTTTGAAATACACATTTGCTAGGATTGATCTTATAATGTTTCTACTGTTATCTTGCAGACTCAGGATTTGTGAAGGATTTGTTTCCAGTGAGAATTTGAATGAGATTATGTTTCAGCATAACACGATGATGCATATATTCCATATAGCTGAACTTAGAAAGTGGGATGAAAACTTTAAGTCGTTGCGGTTTCCAATTATAGATAAACCATGCTCCCTTCAATATCTTGATCTCAAGCCTTCACTTTTAGTTTGTGTATCTCACTTTCCTGTTCTTGCTGAACAAACACTATTGTCATATAATCTAAAGTGTCTCTTTTTTCTTCTTAATTTGGCTAGGTATTGCATGCGCATCTTCACATACGAATACCCAGAAATTTGGTACTGTGATGACTGCAAGCGTGCAAATGAGAAACTCTCCTCAAGTTCCGGTGCGAAAGAAGGATTTTTGGTGGAGTCGACTGAAGATACTAGGAAAATCCTTCACGGCCATTCTACTCAACCAAAAAAGCTCCCGAATGATTCAAGGATGATTGGCATGGACAGGAAAAAGAAGTTTATCCCTGGTAAAACAAAACCTCTTTCTGCTGAGGAGGTTATTAGACTAAGTTCCGGAGCTTTGAACCATGTTTCCCCGGTAAAAGTTGTCCACTCTAGATCTGTACCAAGGAAGAATAGTTCAACTCTCTGTAAAAACATTCCAGTCAGGTGCAGAGATGTACCTCCCAAGTTTCCAAACCAGCTGATTAAAGCCACTGTCTCTTCAGCTCCTGCACCTTCACGGCACATCAAACCCAATGTGGCTCATCACATTCCACAATCTATCAAAGGTTTTGCATTATTTTATTTATTTAGTATGAACTCGTAATTACTAAAAGCGATATGTTATGGCTGTTGTGAGTATTCTTTGGGCCTATACTGATAGGCATCTTGTTTTCTTTTCAACTTAGTTTGAAAACATTAAACTTTGTATTTGAATGGGAAAAGCTGTATTGGGAATGTACCAAGGTGTTTTGAGAATATGAAATATTGATTTCAAAACAAATAGTGATATGTTAATTGTAAAATACTTGGACATAAAAGGCTATACATACGGTGCATGTTTTCGGGGAAAAAGATTACTAAATGGATTGAAGGACTTAGTGTAAACAATGAGTTTGACTATAAGAATAAGCTGTTTCGTACATTTACCTGTTGGTATAGATAATAATCTACTTGGATTTTTAAACATCTGCAGCAGTCACGAATGTGAATGAGGTCTGTCGGAGGGATCTTGAGCAGAAAAAGGATGGCCGTAGTCAAGCTACTTTGAAAGAACATACACAGAATTCAAAAGACGTGCTTTGGGCTCCTATCAATGAACCATCTATGGATGCGGAACGGAGTACTGCAGAAATCAGGTTGGAAGAAGGAAAATGTGAGCTAAAGATTTCATCTGAACCAGATGTACCTCGTCAACAAATTGTTAGATCAGGCAAGATATATATATATATATATATATATATATATTTTTTTCAATACTTTATATTCTCTGTACGAGAGGTAAAATTATTAGATCCCCGCATTCCACGGTGCTTATCAGTTACATGCTTGATAAATTTAAAAAGAGCATCTTGTCTTCAGGCAATGCTGCTTTGAGTAATTCTGAGCCTTGGAGAACTACCAGTTCAGTCAATCACTTTTGTGATCCCAGCCTAGATGCTGCCTGGAAGTAAGTAGCAAATGTACTTACCTACTTTCTTGATTACTCGGAAACAGTTATAAATTATGAACAACTCCATTTTGGCAGAGCTGCCAAGTTCAAAATCCTTTATTAATGAAAACCTTGTATATATCTCGTCATTTTTGCTTTTCTGTTTACTTGTTGGTGCCATTTAAATTTTGTTTTTTAGCTTCCAGGTACTTGACATTTCCAGAGCCTAACTGTTGATTGTTTAGCATGTTCTTTTATTCTTTATGATGTTACATAATCTGTTGTTGTGAAGGTCATCTGATCGTTTGTGTATTCTCTTTGCGATTAATACGAGTATTATTGTTATACGTAAATATTTCCTTTTCATTCTTTCAAAGCTAAAAACCTATTTCCCATTCTAGTGTTATCAAATTTTGTTTATAGGTTTGAAGCCTTTCTTCTTACCAGCTTGATGTAGTAGTAAGGTGCTCAATTTGTGAGGTTAGAGACAAATATAGACTCATTTAAAAGCATGGTATGATTGGTTGATCTGGTATAGTGATAACGAGTTTATACATGTGCACACAGCCCCCTCAAGCTCGATGGTTTATTTTTTCTTTCCCTTTCTGTATGTATCTGTTCACTTTTCTTTTTACCACTGAACTTAATTTGTTTCCTGATATATGATACTGCTATACGTTCACTCTCCAACTCATTACGTATTTATTTGAAGAAGTATGTCTTCCAATAAATCAGTTTTGGGTTGCAGAACAAATTGTTGTCCGTCTTATTGTTTTACTACCTTTTGTAGCGGCAGCTTCAAAGTTTCAAATGCTTCTAAAAGTTGGGAAATCAGTGATAAGGTGCAGGCTCATCCTCGTTCCAGAGTTCGTAAGAAGGTCTATGAATTATCAATGATGATGCCTGAAGCTCTTCAGTTTGAGCTGGTTCCACGTAGTGATCTATGGGGAGATCTATCCCAGTACTTGTTTCTTGACAGAAGAGACATAGGTCTTTATTTTTTTCCTGCTAACATGCAGAGGTCAGTTTTCAGAAGATGTCAGAACTGAGAACTGAAAAAAGTGGAAATTGCCTTCTAAATGTAATCCTATACTCATATTGTGTTTAATTTATTTTACTGTCGAGTGAAGATGGGAGCAGTATGTCACATTGCGGGAGCATATGGAAGCAGAAGACTTGGCAATGAGAACCAGGGTGGAGGACATGGAGTTGTTAGTATTTACTTCGAAACTCTTCAGAAAGGACTGCCAAAGTAAGATCTCTAATGATTTCTATCCTGCTGATTAATTTTGTGACTCTTAAGATGGGTATGTTTCGAAGTTACATGAATGAAATGAGTGTTTTGATTGAGGATGGCGGGCCCACTTAGTTGGATAATATGTTAAACTTTGTGGCTATCAATTGTTTCCTTTGTGTCCTTTTGCTGAAAGTTCTCCACAGATATAGATGTTTTCCAAGTGATGAAGTAGAATGCCCTAGAGTTAGCCTGATAAATTTGGGATGGTTATGTTCTACATTTGATATGGTTGATTTTGCAGGATGGGCTGGGAGACGGTATCTTTGGGGCGTGTTTAAGAAAGCCAAACATGCAAGTCAGGTCAGTACAGATGAATGGCATTCTGAAATGGACAGTAATGAGGTGGTGGACATGGATGTAGACATGATCGGTGGGGAGGACATTGGAAGGTTATAAATTTTTATCTCGAAGGAATCTCTTCAGGTGACATCGCCAGATATGTCAGTGGACATGGAGATTGAAGAGACAGGCAAGGAAGCCGTTGGCCAATCCCTGACATTCACCCCGGTTTTGCCTGATGATGACATCCCCCCTCCCGGTTTTGAAAACACTCGCCGTAAGATAATGTTGAGCTCTCGTTATTCCATTCACAGAAATTGATAAGCTGATGTAAACACTGATAGATTTAGCAGAATTAGGGGTCCCGGGGTCATGCCATTGTAAATTGCCTGAAACCTCAAACCTTCCCCAGGCCAATTTCTTCCCTTGATTGTTAAACTGATTTACTGATAGTGATTTAGCTGATGATGGTCTAGTGATAGGCATCCTACTGAATTATGTTAATAACTTTACTTGACTTGTTAGAATTGTTTATATGAATGTAGTATATTGAAGTTCAAGAACTTAGTTTTTTTTTTTTTTTTTTTGAATGTTTTAGTTCCATTGTCAGAAAAATACAGGGGACTTGAGACTTGACCGTGGGGGTAGTCCAAATCACTTGCTTCATATACTATCTTTGTCCCCAGTTGAAGTTGAACAAAATATTAACAACAAAAGCTATCACAAAATAGAACACAACTTCTGAGGAATTAGCGTGACATCTCCGTTCTACTCGGCTCAGAATAACAAGATGAAGCCTGTAGGCAGAAATTATTGTCAGGCATAATTGTCGTGATCAATTACTGAGGTCTAGATTACCAAAATGTTACTTTGATTTAAGCCTCCTTTGAATTGATGTGCATATTGTAACTTCTACAAATTTATTAAAGTTTGCCTATTGACTTCTAGCAATCTATGCATAAATTATGCTTTGCGGTGTAGTAATTCAGGGGCAGCTTTCTGTAGTTACTTGTGTTATTTTCTATGATCAGTTTTCTTGGTCCTTTTTCCCAAAAAAATAAAAAAAAAAAAAAATTCTTGGTCAAACTTATCAATAGCTCATTGCTCAGAGATCATTACAATGAGTAATACAATGTGGGCCTGTGCTAGTAGATGATACACATAACTCGTTTCTGTGTAATTAATCAGTAAATATGAAGAAGTAAAGAAAGCGATAAAACAAAAAACACGATAAAAGTAATTGAAATCACAAAGTTGAGCTCCAACTCCACCATCCAGATCCTCTTCCAAAAAAACATTAATTAATCAAAATATTACTACTCACTCTAGCAATGGAAGTAGGACAAGTTTTTTTTTTCTTTTTTTTTTTTTTTAAAAAGTACATGTATATTAATCAGAAACAAATGCGGTCACACTTCCTCCGTTTTCTTACTTAATAGAAACTAGATGTTTGTCCCGGACAAATACCCGGGGCGTCCTCCCACCTAATAAATTAATATGTAAATAATCAAAACTGATTAGGAATGAATTTAGTTTTTGATGAAGATAATTAATTTATCAAAAATTAATTTTTTAGAAAGTCCTAAATAAGTGGAGAAGGAAAGTTCCATTCACTGTCAAATTCAAAATTTGAATGAACATGACCATCTGATCTCTTCGTTAATATTGTAAATATATTTTTTATTTTTAAAAGGAGGTGACACGTGACAGAATGGTTTATGCAATATGGTGCATTTGGAGTCAAAACCTTTTAATAAGAAATTACCACATAAGCATCCTGTTTTCTGCTTTAATAGGGTAAAAGTTAAATTGAATTAAAAGTTAAAATCTAAATTACATAATATTTTTGGGACAAAAGGATATAAACTTTAAAAGATCTCGCACCTCCTTTCTCAAATTTCTGGCTCCGAGAAAGGATCCAAAAGCAAAGCAGCAATATGGGTTTCCACAACCGTGGCCGGATTAGTGAATCCATCATTGCGATGCTTATAGTAAACGCCCACCACTCGTGCAAGACTGAGGATTCGCATGACAATTTCTCTTGGCACATCTGTAGGCCTTAATAGTCCCTCGTTTATGTCCTTCCAAGCATCCTCGCAAATCTCTTCTAATTTATTCTTTGCCTCTTCCTCACCCGCATTATAGTCCTCCATGTAGCAATCAAAGTGCACTCTTTATCCCCCTCTTTTTCTCATCATTTTCCACAAAGCGATCAATTATATACAAAAAGAAGAACTTTAGCTCGTGCATCCATGCATTGGGAAAAAAGTCGAATTAAAACAGTACGATAAACATGATTTTCTTTATTTGTATAAACCTCGTAAGAAGCAACATCATTGATAAGCCGTCCGATTCTCGCGCAGGCGACAAGGATCTTTGGATTTTTAGATAGCCAATCGAAGACCTCCGGGGGTGCCATTTTCCATGAATAATAAGGATGTTGGTGTGAGTAGATAAAAGCAGCTTGTGGGAATGATGGTAGCTCTCTTGAGAAAAATCAACATGATTGGATGTAGCTTTTTCTTACATAGTTTTTCCACTGATTCATAAAACATATAAATTGTTCTTTTACGTTTATCCCAGAGGATAGAGCTAGATTTAACAAGTGAAGGAATTTTGATTTTTTTTTAATTATTTCAATAAACGGAAAAAAAGGGGAAGAGCTAGGGTTGGGATGTGTAAGTAACTTACCTGTTGACGTGACTACAGAAGTTTATAAATCGGACTGAAAGAAATAAAATATTTCATCTGTCCAAAAAAATTAGTTCACGTTAAGTTTTAAAATTTATATTACCAATTTTCGTACAAATCGCAAACTTCGACAAAGAAATAGTATGAAAGTACGCATGCACACCTTTCTACGGCGTCTGTAAATGCTCGGAGCTCCTCGCTGGTGCCATAGGCAACGAAGGTATCATCCACCAATATAAGTGCGACCACTGTTTTTGCAAAGATGATTCGACCCAAAGAATATTGAGGTTCAAACAAAATAGACATAGCCATAAAATAATTCTCAACCAATCTATTTCGGGTGTGAGCAAGTTTTGCTACATTTTCCGAACACTTCCTTTGAGTTAGATCATCTAATACAATCCCCAATTCCTTTGCCCACCTGTGTGATACAGAACTAAGCATTGTAATTACCTAAAAAAAAACATGTAATAATTGTTATAGTACACACACACAACAACAACCAAAAAGTGGTAAAAGTACCTGAAAATTTCATTAAGCTCTTGTTTGTGGGACATTTGTGCCAATATGAAATCTAATTTGGCAAGCTTCAAGAGCAAAGGATTGTGGGTTTCATCCGCCTCGTAAATGGACATGTAATAACGGGATTCGATCCTTGGAATTCCCTTATGCAATGACTGTTCAAGAGCATGATTAACTTGGTTGGCAAAGGAATCAGAAATGGATCCTGAACCTCCTTTAATACTGTCTTTCAAATGAGTTATTATGAAAGGAAGGGCGTCTTCTAAAATGTTGTCTTCGTGTGTTCCTACATGAGCTGCTTCAAATAGACTCAAAACACCTTTTATATCCGAAGTCTCGATTAGAATTTCTTTAAGTTCACCATTATCCTTCAATAATCGACTGAAAACCCCTGCGCCACCATATAGCGAAAAATTAATCTTTTTTTTTTGATGTATTACGCACTCGGTGTCCGAAATCATTGTTCCGACTAATCCTGATTCGAGCTGAGTAGGGATTTCTTCTTTTTTTCTTTGTCCCTTTTTCTTGCAAATCAAGTTTAATGAAGTAGCACAAAAAACAAGGCATCTTAATTTCTCTATTTGTCCTAAAATAATTATCCATTAATTTTTTATCTTTATTTTAAGTACAATTTGTAGTAAGAGTAAAATCTTAAAATGAACAATTATTTAGGAACAGGCGTCCCAGAAGATATTTTGAATCCGTGTTGCCTCAACAGCCGAAAGCAAAGTGCAGTGGCGCGTAAATCAAACTGTGAATTAGCTTCAAAGTTGTCTTTATGTTGGAATATTTCTTCCAGAAACTCATCTACTTTTATCAAAGTGGTACGAGATGCCAAGTCGTTCGAGAGTATCTATCAAGTCCAATTTTTCAATTGCTTCCCATTGCTTTTCATTTACCATTTTCTTTACCTCATGTTTCAGTGTTTCGATTTCTTTGGCGTGCATGTCATATGCCTGCCATATCATTTCACAAAAATCTTTTATCGTAGGATAGTGACATATTCGAGATCAGATGAATCGTAAGTATGGCTATATGTGGATGTGATTATGATGAAACAACAACTTGATTTTACTCTCTCTATCTCATAATTATTGTCCAGTTTGAGTTTTTATTTTTAGTTTAAATTGTACTAAAAATGAAATATCAAACTGGACAATAATTTTGGGACAGAAGGAGTATATGTTATGATGCTTAATTGGTTGCATGTTTAATTAGTGTTATAATTTACGATATATAATATAAACTGTTTTATGGGACAGTCTTCATCATACAATAGAAGATGTGTTTTGCCAACATCATGTAACAACCTACCGAACGTCAAATTATGGTTACATTAAGATCATATTTTATGTTTGATACTTTGTGTTTGATATATATAGGCAAATGGAATACGAATAACCAAGCCCTATTGATTCAAATAAATGGACTGAGAAACAAAACATCTTTCAAATGCAACCTATAAAACACTTAGATATACCTGCTCATCCCACTCGCAGGAATTGAAATGCTTTCACTGAAGTTTCCCGAAGGACGAAGGGTTTCGAGCTCGTTGTTGATCAAGGGAAATACTGAATCTTTAGAGTTCATGATTTTTTTTCTTTTTCTTTTTCCTTTTGAGGTAATTGCCACTTGTAGGTACAGGTGTGCTGAAGGAATGGATTCTAATACTAGCCATTGGGTATGAAAACCTCACTATAAACCATCAAGTATTTATAGATCAAAATGTTGTAAGACTTCACTATAGTTAACTTAATTATTGGATAGATAGATGCCTCAGCAAAGGATTAATTTATTTACGTCTAATGTGTATGAATTACCTACATAATATTCAATTTACCTATAAAAACTAAAATCATCTCACCCTTACATCTCATATTACATGTCAATTATTTATCATGTGTCTCAGAAATTACTCAAATGAATATATTTTAAATTTGTCTCTAATGGTGTAGCTTTAGCCATTGATTCAATTTTCAACATATATTGTATTGCCGAATGTAGATTTCAGTTTAGTAGTCCTTTTAAGTGTTAACTATGGAGTTTTTCCCTTTTTTTTTTTCAACCAAGAAAGTGAAAAGACTTTGTGTTGCATTTGTATTCCTTTAATATTCTAACCTTTGATCTTTCCATTAATTTTTCTTTTTATTTTTAATTTAAAGAAACTTTATGTGTTACATCTGGTGTTTCTTAAATGTTATAACTTTTAATATCATTCCATTAATTCTTTGTTTTATTTTTAATTTAATTGCAGAATATAAACTTGAGTTTAGTAGTCCTTTTTAAGTGTTAACTATGGGGTTTTTTCCTTTTTTTTTAACCAAGAAAATGAAAAGACTTTGTGTTGCATTTGTATTCTTTTAATATTCTGACCTTTGATCTTTTTCATTAATTTCTCCTTTTATTTTTAATTTAAAAAGACTTTATGTGTTATATTTGGTGTTTCTTTAATGTTCTAACCTTTGATATCCTTCCATTAATTTTTTGTTTTATTTTTAATTTAAAGATTATAAACAAATTAATGTCCATTATTAGTTGAATATTGATCCCCATAGTTTCAAGTATTTTTGTAGTTTTAAATTTTTTTTATGCGTCTTTCCTTATTCTCTTCTTTGAATTTAAGATTTCATTAATGAGAATTAGAAAAATTATTCAATAGCTCAGGTAGACTTCTAAGAGTCTTGAATTTTAAATTTGTCAATATATATATAGTTAGGTTCTTAAAACTAAGAAATTGATCACATCTATTTTTCCCCCCTTATCAGTTATTTGTCCTCTACGCTCGATGAACTTTCCATTCCAATCTCGTTGACGGTGATTTCTACTCATTATTTTTACTCATTTCTAGTGAAACTTTCAGTTTCGATTTTTTTTTCTTTTCTTTTGGGAGAGAGGTGGGGGCGGGGGAGTTGTTATGTAAAAAATTAATTGTAATCTGTTGTTTACCTTTTTTTTTAGTAGAATCCAGGGTGGCACTTGGAGGATATTTTCTTGATTTCATTAATATGAAGAAAAATATTTACAACAGTATATGTATTGTTCACTTTGTACGTGTGTGTGTTTTTTTCTAAAGTTATAATGGTATTTGTATTTACAAAGAATTGTGAAGAATATTTTTCACTATATATTATATTATGATTAACGTACGAGCGCGTTTATTCCATCTCATATAATATAAAGAGTGAGTTTGGACAAAAATTTTGGTGGTATACCTAAGAGTAACTTATGAAGAAAAAGAAAAATAAAATGATGACATTTGATTATTTCAAAATACTATGCCTGTGTATGAATTGATTGTTGAATTTTATGATAAGTGCGTAAAAGATTAGTATCTTGGAGTTTCCAAGATGGGAAAGATCAGAAACATCAAACCCACTGGAACTCATTAGTATTTCCTTCATCAACCCCACCAAGGAGTCCCGATGCTGCCCAAATACTCGACCTAATGCAGCTCTGAACACCATGGAACTTGTGTATGAGGAATCTTTTTGGGTCAGATTTATTGCGTCTTTTCCGCAACTCCCTTGATGAACCGATGAATTGAGACGCGAAACCTCGTCATGCCGGATCGAACCAAAAGATCCAACCCTTTGGAGCTAGGCCCCAAAGAAATGATGGGGCAAAATTTTTAATACTACTAATTTAATATGTTTGCCTCCTAATATTATCAATTTAGGTGGGGCAAAATCTAATTTTCTTAAGAAAATACCTCAAATTTTAAGGGATAATAACTAAAAAAAAAATCAGCTGGGGCAATTGCCCCACAATCATATATGTCTCTCCGCCCCTGTCTCCAGTACTCGCCATACGGGCTAAACCTGATTACGGAGTAGTTATAGAATATGATCTTCGCCACCAGAAACTCCGGCCTACCGGAGCAAGCCAGGTCGGGAGTCTTCAGGACAACTTTTGCTGTACGAGGTGAGGATGCCACGATCGCCGAGATTTCTCCGAGCTGGATGTGCATTAGATCTCCATGCTTTTGGGCTAATTTTGCAATAGCATGATGGGGAAGCGAACCCATCATTTGATGCATGCTTCCAAGGAAGGGAAATTTCCATGGCCCTGGGGGAAGCTGCTTATGATTCTTCTTCTTCTCTGTATTAGTATTATCGGAATGTCTCTTCTGGGTTCCCGATGTTTTCCTGATGAGAAGCAAAGAGAACCGAAAAGAAGAAGGGAATCCAGTTGATTATCAAGGCCAGATGCTCCATGGTTTTATAAATACATGTGTAAAAGGATGTAAAAATCTCCCAGAGCCCACTTTCCTATGTTATTTAACTGGATGGTTGATTGGCGAAAGGACTATGTGCTTTTTTTTTTTTGGGTATTAAAAAGAGGGTTATTCCAGAAATGCATTTTTATTTATTTATTTATTTTTAATTTGGTATGAACCGGATCGGCCTGCTCCTCCTGTGTGAAATCTACATGTATTTTCTTTTTTTAGTGTATTAACACGTTCATTAAATAATAAAATTTAATAAATCATACTCTCCCCGTCCCAAAATTATTGTCCAATTTGAGTTTTCATTTTTAGCTTAAATTGTACTAAAAATAAAATTTCAAACTGGACAATAATTTTAGGACATAGGAGTTGTTGAATATTTCAAAAAGATTTTTATTGTTACTAAGTTAATTAGTAAAAATGTGTTGTAGATATGACTTGGTCCATCTCACATTTTTTTGGATAAAACCCAAAATTCCAAGTCAAAGTGGGAGAATGAGTCTTGGTAGTCTGTTCCTAAAATCTGCCCACTAAAAGTCTTAATCTTATAAAATAAAGAATCTTATTTCTGATATTTTAGGGGCAACAACGGGACATTTTGACACTATAAATAGATGCTAAATTTGAGAGAGAAAAAATGCACCAAACATTTTCTCTTTTCTCTGATCTTTCTTTCCCTCATTTTCTTTTTCCTTTCGGTCATTCAAGGCTTAAAGCCCTTTTTCTTCATTCAACACCAAAAAGTTTTGGTTTTCTTTGTTTACTGATTTCGGCACATTAAATACAAAAGTCTTGAGTTGTTTTAGCACAATTTTCTTTGGTCTTTAAAATAAAAAGTTTTTTTTATTATTCTTTATTGCTGGATTAATATATTTTTAACTGTTCTTATTTCCTCTATCATTTGAGAAAGGTTTGTTTAATCCTGGGGAGACATTTCAATACCATTGGAATAGTTTCTTAAGGACAGTGCTTTTTAGCGCGCCTTAAGTATTATTTTATTTTATTTATTTATTAATTTTTATTTATTAGCATTGGCCTATTTTTTTTTTTTTCCAACATTCTTAAGAAACTATGAATTCCGGCCAAGCTAATGCTACCAATGTTGATGGAATTATCAATGTTGATGCTATGCAGTCCCTTAGTGTACCAGCTCCACCCTCGGTCCCTATCGGCTTAACATACGCCAAACCTTTTCCTGATGTTTCAAAGATTGAAGTTTTTGCCAATGAAAATTTCAAACGTTGGCAAGAATGTGTCTTCTCCTTGCTTGACATTCATGGAGTTGCTTATGCTTTGACTGATGCCCAGCCCAATTCTACTATTGATTGGAAGATTCAAGAATTGTGGAAACATGCCAATAAGGTATGTCGTCACACTATTTTGCAAACTCTTTCTAATGAGCTATTTGATGTGTACTGTAGCTAGAAAGTAGCCAAAGCCATCTGGGACGCATTGATAAAAAAGTTCACCGCTGAAGATGCTACGAAGCAAAAGTTTGTCGTTGGAAAATTTTACCAATGGCGGATGGTTGAAGAGAAGGAGATGAAGATTCAAGTCATTGAATATCAAAAGCTGCTCGAAGATTTGAAGGCAGAAGACATTGTGCTGCCTGAAAAATTTGCTGCTGGAGTCCTGATTGAAAAACGTCCAGATTCGTGGAATGAGTACAAGAACAACCTGAAGCACAAGCAGAAGATCTTTACAGTCGAGGAATTGGTGACACACATCTTGATCGAACATACTAACAGAAAGGAGTCAAAGACTACCAAAGCTAAGGAGATGAAGCTCAAAGCAAACTTGGTACAAAGCAACAACAAGAGGTACGATAACAAGTCCAATAATTACAAGCTTAATAATCCCTCTTTTAAGAAGAAAGGCAATTGTTTTGTTTGTAGAAAGCCAAATCATCATACTGCTGAGTGTAGACAGAGAAAGAGGAATAACAATGCCAAAGTGAATCCTCCTAAGGCTAATATAGTCGAAGAAGATGAAATAATTGCTGCTGTTATTTCTCAAGTGAACATTGCTACTAATGTCAAAGAATGGGTTGCAGACTCTGGGGCTATTCGGCACATTTGTGCAAATCGAGAAGCATTTTCCTCCTATACTTCTGTAGGAGATGATGAAGAGGTTGTCTACTTGGGAGACTCACAGCCTGCAAAGGTTTTTGGTAAAGGGAAGGTTGTCCTGAAGCTCACTTCAGGAAAAACTTTAGCCCTTAACAATGTGCTGCATGTTCCAAACATTAGAGCAAATTTGTTTCTGTTGCCTTACTCGGGAAAGCTGGGATAAAAGTGTCGTTTGAATCTGAAAAGATTGTTATGACCAAGAATAATGTGTTCGTGGGGAAAGGCTATTGTAACCA